AACTGCATGCTTGTGTAATTTGTTTATTACAACCATCACTCACTCACTCACTCAGTGCTGTCTAGTCGGATCTGACTCATAGCAACCCCTCCTTGGGTGTCCAAGGAGGTATCACTATGGAAATAGATTGTCCGACCTTCCCTCCTAGGAATGGCTGATGGGTTTGAACTGCCGGCCTTCTGGTTAACATTCCAATGCCTGAGGCACTATGCCACCAGAGCTCCTTATTAACAATCATACAAATTACATACTTAAATAACTGTTTAGGAAGTTGCCAGCTACATTTTCAGTGCATTGTGGAAATACATGGTTTCTTAGTACCTGATATGATGGGCTTTTTTATTCCAGCTAAACTGAAATATCTTGGGTGAAATCATAAGAAGATTACAGTAAAGATTTCTATTTCTTTTGAGTTTATTCAAAGGCATACACACACACACACAATTTTTCATATTTGAGCATCATTTTAACTCATTTCAAAATTCCAGATGGTCATCAATTATTTTTTAAATTAACAATTTAAATATAATTCTTGTTTCTGAACATGTGAATTACAAAGAACTATCTTTTAAAATTAATTCTTAAAAATTAATACTGTATTAACTAGCTGTCAATTTTCTGGTAAGGTATCTTACCAAAAACCTTTGCTGTAATTTACCATTTAACGGAGGAAAAATGCATATGCATCCTTAAAGGGAAACCAACCAAAGAAAAATTATACAAAACAGTAACAGACAAAATACTGACAGCCATATGCTACCAGATTATTTTCTTCTTAGTGTAAAATATATTTTAAATTCCATTGTTCAGAAGCACCTATTTTTCCATATATGAAACTGGTACACTATCATGTGCAAAGCATTGTGCTAAGCACACTGGATATGATATAAGATAGAGTCTCTACCCCTGAGTTGCTGACAATCAAGGAAGAGTGAAAGGCACATTAATTATGAAACCAAAAACCAAGCTCACTGCTGTCTAGTCGGATCCAACACAGAGGCCCCTCCTTGCGTTTCTGAGGTGGTATCGCTATGGAAGTAGACTGCCCAACCTTCCTTCCGAGAAGTGGCTGGTGGGTTTGAACTGCCAGTCTTCTGGTTAGCAGTTAAATGCCTTAGGCACTATGTCACCAGAACTCCCAATTTAGCCACAGTGCTATAATAATAAATTTGTATTAATGACATGAGAACATACAGGCTACAGCCTTCAATTCTGATTAGTCAATATTTAAGGGTTATGGGATAGGGAGCTCTGGTGGCATCATGCCTAAGGCATTTGAGGGCTAACCAGAAGGCTGGCAGTTCAAACCCACCAGCCACTCCTTGGAAGGAAGACTGGGCAATCTACTTCTGCAGAAATACCCCCTTGAAACCCAAGGAGGGGTCACTATGAGTTGGAGTCTACTCGACCACAGTGAGGTGGTTTTTTTTTTTTTTTTTGTATGGGGTAGGTGCAAAGAAGGTTTTAGGATATTTTAAGAACCCACCAGCTGGAAAAGGCAGTTAAGGGAATTTGATTCATGGAAACGTGTACATGTACATCATAGTGGCACAAAAGAACAAGAGAGGTGAGCCAATTTCAAGTCATCTACTGTGATCTGAACACTAAAAAACAAAAACAAAAACAAAAACCTATTGCTATAAACTTGATTCCAACTCATGGCAATCCCATGTGTTACAAGTAGAACTCCATATGGTTCTTTTGGCTCTAATCTTCACAGAAGCAGATCACCAGGTATTTCTTCTAAGGAACCACTGTTGTTGTTATGTGCCGTCGAGTCAGACCGACTCACAGCGACCCCTCCTTGGGTTTCCGAGGCAGTATCACCACGGAAGTAGATTGCCTCATCTTCCTTCCGAGGAGTAGCTGGTGAGTTTTAACCACCAGCCTTCTGGTTAGCAGTCAAGTGCTACCTTTAGGTTAGCACCTGATCACAAATCACTTGAGCCACTCAAGTGCTCCTTGGTTTGAATATACCTGTTGCCCTCAAGTCAATTCCAGCTTCAGGGGAGGGATAACAGAAGATGGCATTAGAAAGCTAAATTTTGGCTAGATATAAAAGAACACCCAGTGGCATTAATTATTTGGAATCATTTTTTGTAACACTGATAAATCACTGAGATTTTTGTTTTGTTTTGTTTGAAATAAAGGGAATTAACTGGACAATTTGTGTTTTAGAAAAATAATTCTGACAATTGTATGGAAAAATGGACTGAATACAACAGAAAAAAATACAGGAGGGCAGAGGTGGCAAGGATAGTAGTAACAGGATGGAAATAAGAAGTCAAAGCCAGAAGATACTGAAGAGGAAAGACCTAATCTTGTTTAAAAATAGTAAGCTCAGGGTGCTAAGAGAAAGAGGAAGAAAAGAAAGAGGAAGAGAAATGAAAGATGACTCTAAGATTTCTACCTTTGTTTACTGAAGGGGTGAAGCATAACCTTTATGGACCAAAAACTCTAACGAAACTCAGTGCCATCGAGTCAATTCTGACCTACAGTGACCCCCGTTGGGTTTCCAAGATGGTAAATTTTTACAGAAGTAGATTGCTCAACTTTCTCCTGTGGAACAGCTGGTGGGTTATGAACTGCTGACCTTCTAGTTAGCAGCAAAATGCCTTCTCCACTACACCACCAGAACTCGACCTTTAATGAGCAGAGCCTAAATAAAAGTTTATTAAGAATTCTAATTATGCAAAATATAAATATATTAAGTTGCTATATATTGCTGCTATAACATAAATTTGACAGATGGGTGGCATATATATCCCCCCCCCCCCCCCCGCCACCTCACAGTTTCAGAGGCTAGAAGCCCAAATTCCGAGTTTCAGCTCTTGCGGAAGTCTTTCTCTCTCTGTAGGCTCTGAAGGAAGATCCTTATCTCCTTCCTCACCTTCTGCTTCTGATTGCTTGGAGATCTCCATCTGTCTTGGCATCTGTCTTACCTTATCTCTTCTTCATTTCCTTGTTTAATTTCTTTCATATCTCCAGAGAGATTGACTCAAAACAAACTCTACATTAATTCTGTCTCATTAACATAACAAAAGCCACCCATTTCTAAGTGGGATTATAACCACAGGCATGGAGGTTAGTAATTACAATACATATTTTTTGGGGACATAATTCAACCCACACTAATTGCCTAAGAGAAAGCATGATATAATGCGGACATTCAAAAAAGGTAAGAATATATAATGATTTGCTTTCCACTTTATTTAGGAATAATTAATAAGAAATATACTATATTTTAGAAGAAGAATGAATATTTTTACACATGAGGGTCTAACTCAAAGAGAAGGAGCCCTGATGGTAAATAGTCAGCTGCTAACTGAAAGGTCAGCTGTTTGAATCCACCAGCTAGCTGCTTTGTGGGAGCAAAGACCAGATGATCTGCTCCCATAAAGATTACTGCCTAGAAACTCTATGGGACAGTTCTACACTGTCCTTTAAGGTCACTGTGAGTCAGAATCAACTCAATGGCAAAAAACTATTCAAAGAATAATATTAGAATATACTAGAAGACTGTTTTACGCTGACATAAATTTGTTGCTCTGATAATTTAGGTGTTAGACATGCAGAAAAATGACCTCTAAATAATGCTACTAATTTTAGGATTTTATATTTTTATAAAATTCCCTGCCATCGAGTTGGATCTGACTCATGCGACCCCTCTGTGGGTTTCTGAGGCAGTATCACTATAGAAGTAGATTGCCCAATCTTCCCTCTGAGGAGTGGCTAGTGGGTTTGAACCACTAGCCTTCTAGTCAGCAGTCAAATGTCTTACGCACTATGCCAAGAAAATAAATAATAAATATGATTTGTCAGAATGTTTTACAGTATTTTCCCAAATAGCTGTCTTTTAAAAATATCATGATATTCTTCAGGGGATGATATTGTTAATCATAATGGATATTAGGATGAACAAAAGTTCCATAAAATCTCCATGATCAAAATAACTTTCTACAGAATTAGTTCAAGTATTTTTCCATCAGTCCTACATCTACTACCAAGTTGCCCTCTCTCCCCACAGTTGAAATTTTCAAGTAGTCTATATTCATATTCTTAACTTTCTTAAAGTATTTATTCCTCAATCTACTTTGTCTTCCCAAAATCTCTTAAGTAATTGTTGTTGCTAAGGTCAGCACGCACAATACATGACTAAACCATCTTACGTGACCTCTCAGGTGCACTGCTGTACTTAACAACCAATCCTTCTAGAAATACTCTTTTCCTTGGCTTCTATGACACTTCATAGTCTGTATTTCCTTTACGCCTCTATGATCATTTCTTCTTAGCCACCCTTGGTGGCTTTTTATCCTCCACTCAGCCATTAAGTGTTGGAATTCCTCAGTATTTGATCCTAGCCCTATTTCTCTTCTGACTCATTTTCAGAAGAGCTCACTGTATCTATGGCTTCAATTTCCAACTCTAAGTCATTATTTCCTCCTGGTTCTTTTTATTTCAAATCTCTAGGCTACAGGTTTCCTCCAGACTGCAAAAGAAAGCAAATGTTCCCTCAACTTATCAATGTGGGTGTCTCAAATGCACTTGACATACTGTTGTTGTGTCACTGATTCCGACTCATAGTAAGCCTAAAGGCTAACCATGAATAGTGCCATCATCTTGGCCCTCACCCAATAATCCTATTTTCATGTAATGATGATTCATCTAGGTACACAAGTCAGAAATCTAGTAGTATTACTGACATTTACCTTTTATTAAATATTCATATGAATTTCATCACCATGAAGTATCAAATATTGCCTCCTCACCCTCTCTTACATCTCTATTTCTTTCCAAGTGTACTGTCAACATCCCAGTCCAAACTACCATCTCTCTCCTGGATTTTTGCAAGAGCTTTGTAACTAATCCAACCACAAAGTTGTCCTCTATAATATGAAATACATATTGGATGGAAAGTTCTTAAGTCTTCAAATCTGTGAAGGAAGCAAAGTTAAGTCTTAAATTAATTTCCAAAGTGCCTATAGAAATGATGTAATTATTTAAATATATAACAGGACCTGTATCCACCTTACCATTAGTAAACACTGTATTGTATGGTTAGAGGAAGTGGCTTGAGAAGTGCTAGGCAAAAAGGAGAATATGACAAGTGGATATCCATCCTGCTATATCTTCTGCTCTGTATCTGACTTTTCAAAATCGGAGCATCCAATCTGACTTTTCTTGGTCAGTCTTTTCCAGATTAGTCTGGGATCATCTGAAAGCCTGGGAAAGTCCTTGTGTGCTTCTCCAATAAAGGTGAGAAAATCTTTGGTGTGTAGATGCTCATCTACTTTCTGTTGGAGTAGAAGTGATTCCAGTAAAATCTTCTTTTGTTTCACAAAGGCGAATTGGGCCAGTTCTGCTCTTTTTCTGTTACAGTTGTGACACTGCGAAGAAATGTGCTGCTTAGTAGCTGACATCTGTTTTAGTGTTGCCCTCAGGTTTTTTAAATAGATTCTGTTCAAAAGCTCATCAGGTACAGTACATTTCTGTGGATCTATCACTGGGTCCTCGGCAACCGATTTAAGCTGTATCTTTTTACTTCTGCTGCTTTTTGCCTCCTTATAGTTCACTCTACGATGGATCAGATTTATCTTAGCGGTGCAAAAAGACTGCACAGCATTCAGTTCTTTCTCTGATACCTGAACGATTTCTTTGTGAAATTTAGTATCTGGTTGGTACTGGTACTGTCCATAGTTAGTTTTGTTGCTCTTGAGGTGGTTGATCCATTTTCTACTTAACCTCTTTTCATTATTTTTAAAATCTGACAACTCAGATTCTTTGTCTTGATGTTCTGAGATTGTAGTCTGCTTACTACTCTCAGCTTTGCTCTCAGAGGCTTGGAGCCAGGGCTGTTGCCCTCCAGAGGCACAGAATGAATCTGAACTCTCTACTTCATCAGTAAAAGGCTCAAAAGTCTCACCAGAAATGTCTGTCATTGCACTGATGTCCACAGGGGCTGATTCTATCCACTCTTCTTTTGAATCCTCAGGCTTTTTGAGCATATGATTATCAGTTTGCACCACACTCCGCAATTCATCTGCTTGGCCTTGGTCAAGACTGTCTCCGGAACTAGTCGGGACTAAGCCCACAAAGCACCTCTCTAACGTCCCAACAGCTCACGCCCATCGTCAAGACAGTATCTCCCCCGCTGCTCTGGCAACGCGACGCGACCCTGCGCAGTTGCGTCACTGCCATGCGTCACTCCAATGCGTCGCTTCGTTGACGAGAGTCTCTCTTCGCCTCACCCCCATGGTGCTTCCTCCTACCACTTCCAGCCCCGCCTCTCTCGCCAAGAACGGCTTAGGCCGGCACCATTCTGGCCAGCTACGTGGTGCTATCCGCCCTCCAGTTTCTGTTCCATCATAATGTTTTTAAGTACAAAACGTAATAGTACAGCAAGGGTCTTCAGAGTAGGGTTGCAAAGTACGTTTCCTCACGGGACAGTCAACAGATACTCCTGTGTGAAGCCAGTAGGGATAAGTGCTAACTGTGACAATTCGGAGAGTGTATGCCCCTCGTCAGTGTACCCAAATGAAAACAAACAAAAGTCATACTAGCCAAAACGCACAGGTGAAAATACGACTACCAATCATATAGTCAGGAGGCTGCCTTGTTTGTCCTAGGATAAAAATAGAAATACTGAAGCCATCCTATAAGAACTCTGCATGACTTGGCTCTTACCTTGCTCTGCAGCTTCATCTTGCAAACCGTTCTGTCCTCTAGCATTTGATGGCCTTGCAGCTTTCCCAAATCATAGTTTATGCTCACATCAGGCATTTTGTGCATGCAGTTCCTTCTGACAGACTCATCAACACCACACCTCACTCTTCATATGATTAATTAGTTCTCCAAGTTCCTTTTCCTAAAGTCCAGCATCATAATATCCCTTGCCTTCCCTTGCCCCCTTTAACAGTCTTTTATTCACAGTTTGCAACTTTATGTTTGATGACTAGTTGAAAATGTCTCCTCTTGCCTCATTGCATTGAAAACCCCATGTTCTGTATTAAATTATGTCCCAAAAAATATGTACTATAAATCCTAACTTCTAGTCCCATGGTTTTAATCTCATTTGGGAATGGATCGTCTCTGTTAAGTTAATGAGGCAGGATTAGTGTAGGGTGTATTTTGAGTCAATCTCTTTTGAGATATAAAAGATTAACCAAGAGAGCAGAGGAGAGAGAGAGTTAGGATAAATGTCAAGATACCTGGAGGCCTCCAAGAAACCTGGAGACCTCCAAGAAACCTGGAGACAGAAGCTGAGGCTATAAGGACCTTCCTCCTCAGCCTTCAGAGAAAGAAAGCCTTTCCCTAGAACCACACTCTGAATTTG